TTTCTCATATAATAATGCCTTCATGGCTCAGTCGGCTTGAGCGCTGCTTACATTCACGAGGTCGAGAGTTCAATTCCTCGAGATGTAAAAAAATTTATTTTACTTACTTATAGTAAGGACAATGTATTCTAATGGTAAATAGTCATTAATTCCTTCCATGGAATCCATATGGACTGCTCCATGGAATCCATGTGGATATGCCTGCATTCCATATGGAATCTGATGGAATCCATATGGAATGGTGTTGGAGTCCATATGGAATTAATCATTCCATGACCATTCCAGCATCATTCCATATGGAATCCATGATGTCCATGGAATCAGAAACTGGCTGTGTCCTCAGCCAACATTGATTCCATGGATTCCATATGGAATTCTCCATGGATTCCATGGATTCCACATGGATTCCATATGGATTATACCGGGGAAGGTAAAGACCTCATTCAGGGTGCTATAGTTGAAGGAGTGAAAATGGTGGGCATTTTGCCATTGCTGTCACTGTCTGTGTCACCTCTTCAACCATACATCCCCATGAACATATGTACTCATTCATTAGTGTCCAGTCTCCCAAACTTGAAAGTTTGTAGTCCAATTTTCTGACATATAATTTGTAGTGTTCTATGGGCTTTAATGGACAGGAAAGTCACACCAACGTAATCACAAAATTTGCACTTCTGAACTCTCGAAAATACTTGAAGGCCTAATATTTGAGGGTGAGGTCCACCACCTTTGATGGTTGGTAGAGGGATGGAATCCCAGGAAGGTGATGATGTATCTTGATTACAATGGGATTGAGCACACAGTTTTCATTTTCAACTCCATCCATGTTTTGTTTCATTGTGATTCTAATTAAATTTACAACAACATGGGGGCCATGTTTCTACTCATGAGTGCAGAGGGAAATCAACCAGAAGATGGCTCCGACTTGCCACTGCATGGCAGGTCAGTTGTGTGGGCAGATGGGGTATAAAATTGCTGAAAAAAAGGGAGAAATGGGCACTGCATATGAAGCAATTACGGATACAATTTCACCTGCACCCACATTGCCAGAAGGTGAGCCTTTAGGATTTTTCTGCCTGGCTTTGTTGCCTCATTCATCCAAGAAATAAATGCCCATTCATCCATGTTCTGATTCAAGTTGAAGGTGGCCAGGATTATGTCTCTGGAATGCCACACTGCCCACAAGGAGAATTTCAGCAGACAAATAAAGTCCCAATCAGGATGGCAAGGTGGGGGGTCTGTGGATGGATTGGAGCTTTCTGAGGAATTTTGTCAGAGGTGGTTCAGCTTAGTGAAGAAGAAGGGGCACAAACAGCTGGTAGACAGCATGAGTTGTCTGATGATAGAGGGACAGTGCTGAATGTCAGGAGGATCTCATCATACCGCTAATGAGCTGCTTACTGGAACTCTGGCAGGTAGTGAGTGTTGGAGCTTATTGTCCAGCATGCACTGCATAGCCAATATGCAGGTGCTTTCTTCAATGGGTCACTGTTGGTACAGGGAATGGTCAGTCTCTAAATTCAT